CCCGCCCCGATAATTCCCAAGGAATTCCCTGGTATCACCTTTTGATAGCACCCAGAGATAGAAGTCCACCAAAGCAGCAGCACCAACTCCCAGATGATTTAAGCATACAAAAGAAATACTATGGTCAATGGAATCAAAAGCTGCTAAGAGATCCAGGAGTATTATCAGATGCCATGCTTCCTTGTCTCCAGGTATAAATTGTCAAACATCCATCAGGGTCACTGTGGTTCTATCCATGCTGAATCTGGGTCTAAGCCCAGAATGAAAAGGGTCTAGATCAGCCTTTCTCAATTGGGATTTCATGGGTCTGCAAGAAATTGCTAGGGGTTCTGTGAGAGATTATGACTTACAAAAAATAAACACTCTGAGTTTTGTGCACCATGCAATGCTAGCGCTTGCAGTGATGGGAATTTTTGCATACAGTGACTCAACTGCCACTTTCCTGCTCTTGTGAGTGTTGTAAAACATAGATTGTGAAGGTTAGAAGTGAATTGTATTGTGATGGCTTTATATGAGTTGCAAGAGTTTTTTTACCTGTTCACAAAATAGTTATCATAATAAACACAACAGTAACAAAGCACCAGTTTCCCCAAAGGCAAACTGGTTAATCTGCTCTATTTTCCCTTGGAGTGGGAAAGAAATGGGTGTCTTTCTAAACAAAGCATAGGGTTACTCAGTGTTTTTTTTAAATACATTTTTGTAAATAAAGGTGGTAAAGCAAGCCTGTGTTGCATTCTTTTAAATTAAATCTGTTAATTGCCCATTGCAATGGGTCTGACATTTTTTTTTCTGTTGCAGTTCCATCTTATGGAAGAACCTCTCCCCTGAGGTTGAACAGTGCCCACCCTGATGGCCTTTCAGGAGTGAATAAAAATAGAGCTTTTCCAGAGAGCATCTAAAAGACGAGGAATATTATCTTAATGTGTTATTATTCTGCTGTTATCTTTTAATATTACTTTATTATTTTTGTAAACCACTAGGGAAGGGAGGGAGGGAGGGAGGGAGATAGATAGATTTAGATAGCTGGCCATTTTACTTCATTCCAGATGAAATTCTGCATGGTGACATATTAACTACTACCACCAGAAATGGCATGTAAACAAAAATGGCATATAAACCAAGGATTCCACATGTAAACAGTGCAGTTTCTAGAAGTGGTAGATGTGATTTGGGATAGAATCTGACTGGACTATTCAAGATTCTTAGAGAAACCATTGGATTGTTTATAGCCAAATATGTTGGATTTAGATGAAGATTCCATGGCCATACAGAGAGTGAACATGAAGACATTTGCTGTTAGGTTCAAAAGGTAATTATATCACAGCAGACTGCCCATTGCCAAAGTATATCACAGTAATTTACAGCCAAGGTGGTACAGTTTATAACTAATGACACTTATAGAAGATACTATTCAAGGATATCAAGTACATAATTTGTTAAAAAGTACACATTGGCATACTTGATTTTGAAGGAGCTCTCTATATTACCTCATACAGCTTTAAAATTTTGTTATATCAGATGCCTATTCCCAGGCTTTTGTGCAGATAGGAAAGCAGATTTCCCAACAGAAGCTAAAGGAGAAAAATGGTTGCTAAGCAACTTTTATTTCCTTCCCAAAAAACAGGACTCAGACCAGCTTGTGGCCTTTTTGAAAGTGTGCAGGATGCCATGCTCCATTACAAGCTGTATGTAGCTTGATGCTAGCTTCAAGTTTAGGCTTCTGCTCCATTTTGGGCTGTTTTCCTGGTAACCTCTGCCTTTCAATTTCTTACGGCTTCCAACTTGATGTAAGTAATTAGAATACTTCTGAACACTCAGTGGTTCCTAGCATGCTATTTACACGGGTTTAACGTTTTGTTTTTGTTTTAATCATTATTAAATTGACATATAGACAAAGCAAGTTGTAAATAAAGAAGTTTACAAGCACTGTAAAATTGAACAAGAAAAAAAATGACATTGATATAAATCTATATATTAAAATATATCAATTTGAAATTTGAAAGTGTTAAAATAAATATTAGAATGAGATTATATAGTAATTGACAACTTTAGTACTGTATGATTCAATTTATAAATGCAATTAGTTCTATCCCATCTGAAAAATTTAATGAATTTAACATATCAGGGAAAAAAAGAAATAATATAAATATCAAAATCTTATGTTAGGAGAAGTTTAAATTTTTCATGTGGTAAAAACCTTTTTGTGAGATTATAATCCAAAAATGGTTTCCACATTGAGTTAAATTCTATATCAGATTTGCTTTTTAAGTATGACATTAATTTTGACATTGATGCTTCTGTAACTTTATTTGCTGTTTTTCTATAAAAGGAATTATTCATGCTTTCCAATAAGAAGCATAGGGTATTCTAACAGCTGTTACCGCATATAAAACCAGTTCAGTATATTTTATAGAACTATAAGGTTTCATAATATTTAATTAAAAGATAACAGACTAAAAAGAAAAATCATCCTTCAAAATCTGCTTCATTCTATTATAGGTCATTTTCCAGAATTGTTGTGCCTTACAACACTGCCACCAAACCTGGAAGAATGATCCAACCTGGTTATTGCATTTCCAACAGTTTTTAGAAAATCATTTTTTTATATTGGCAATCAATACTGGAGTAATATACTGTCAGTAGAACATCTAACAGCAATTTTCTTCAAGTGTAATTTTAATTGTGTGATATTCCCATTGTTATATTTCAATTGTTCTGTTCAAATTCTGTATCCATTTGATCATACAATCTTTAACTTTTTGCATTCCGAATCATACTTCACCAAAACCCTATAGATAAGTCCCAATAAATGATCTGAGTTTTGTGTGACATGTTTTTCAAATCCAGTCTGATCAGGATGTATCAGTTCAGTTAATAGTCCATTTAGTCCTTTTTCAAGAATTGCTGTGAAAATTTATAATTTATATTAACTAACAGAATAGGACTATACAATTCTGAATAGGTCAGGTCATTCCCTTCTTTGTATACCAAAGAAACTAAAGCTTTCTTGCAAGAGGTGGAAAGCTTGATGTTGATTAAGCTTACTCATTACCTGAATTAATGGTTCAATCAGAAATTTGTGGAAAGCCTTGTAGTATATTGCAGAAAGTTTTTCTGGTTCTGGAAACTTATTCAATTTAAATTTTTGTGTTGCTTATTCTCTTCAGCAATTAATTTAGGGTT